CCAGGGGGCACTCCGGCGAAGGGCCACTCTTGCGCGCAGCCGGTGCGCTGCGGAGGCTCGCTGTTGAGGCGACTCTCGGGGTAGCCTTTCTTCACGCTCGGCAGTGCTGGCGCGAAGGGGCCTCCGAAAGTCTCAGTTCCAACGGCATTCGTGGGGCCTCTGGGCTTCCCCCTCGGGGCTTTCCAGGAAAAAGGCGCAGCCACGACCGGGACAACATCGGACTGGGACAAAGTGAGGATCTATGAAATCGGGCCGCGGAGATATCGGGTGCTGCTGCCGTTCCAGAGCGCTCTGGGACGCTCTGAGAGCGTTCAAGAACGCGCTCTGGGACGCTCTGAGAGCGTTCAAGAACGCGCTGGAACGACTTCGGTCCTGGGCCCACCAGAAGCAATTCGTTCGGCGCCAGCCCCAACTCATGCAGCGTGCCTGCTTCAATGTAGAGATGGTGCTGTAAACGGGCTAATGGCGCGAGCAGCCCACAAATCGCACGAATGCCAGAATTCTGAAACTCACCTCAACTCGTCAAGCCGCGGCATCTGTCTTGAATCCAAGCCCCAGTATCGTTGCTTCTTTGATTTGCAGATGAGGAGCCTTTCGAGGGCCTCGCACTCTCAGCAAACTTCTTACCCAAAGCTTCTGCTTCTGTGTCTGAGGGGGTTTCTTACCACCTCGCATCGCCACAGCAGGATGCACTTCTGCTGGCCAATGGGCCCATGACTGTGCTGGTGCGCTCTACGGCCCATGCTGCTACACCACGGAGCCACCACCTCGGTGGAATCCTCCTGTACCTCTAAGGCATGGTCCTGTGAGTGCGATTCATCCGTGAGCCTCCTCGGGTGTCATGGCGAGTGATTTGGCTCCCAGATCGTCACAGACGCGCCTGGCGTCCGTTCACGCACGGCTCAAGCGGGGCCTCTTGCGCCGTGGAATTACTGATGTCCCCAACCCTCAGTCGCTCCTGAAGACTGGCGGCAAACCAGGGCGGGAGTGGGTCGATCAATCAATACTGACATACACATGCTTAAATTCTGGCGGTCCGCGCTGCTTCTTGGGTGGGACAGCGTGGATGAGGACGAGGCAGCGGAGAAGACGAGGAGAACGGGGACGCACAAGACAAGGATGACTATAAGAACGCCGATGAAGAGGACAACATCATAGCGCTGCCTCCAAGCCCACCCAAACATAGTTCTACCGAACATGTCAAGGAGAACTCGGTAGAACAATTCTGCATGGATGACGATGCTGTGCTGGTGCTGTAATCGGGTTTGCTCCAAACACCCGCGTAATTCTCATCACCCGGGAGGCTGATAACCACTGCCACGAGCTAATTCAAATCCTGCAGCGGGGACACACGTCTCATCAGTGTGGAGATGCGCGGGCAGATCTGAAAGTTCACCGCCTGGACCTCGACTGTGCGCACGTGCATACACCCGAGGATCGTTGCTGGGATCGGGGATGCCTGCCCGTCGTGCCCGTCCAACTTGTAACACACACGGTGTCAATAACTGCCTGCCAAAGGGGGACTAGCAAGATGAAGGGTCGACATTCTGAAGGCACGTGGTGTGGAGTGCCCGTCAGTGCGGTCTGAAACTCAGTGTAGCATGGCGTCGAGAAATTCAATTGAGGACGGCCGCGCGCCGTACTCATGATCCACAGTGCCGTCCGGTACGTCCGGTCGAAGATGTTGCCGCCTCGGCAGTACCAAACACTTGAAAGGACGCATCCACGGCGACAACAAAACCGAAGACCGACAAATGTCGAAACCGAAGCTGACAGACCCAAAACGACCGAGAAGAGCGCAACGAAGCATCCACCGACCGAGCCGAAGCGACGAATGCAACCGATTGCAGCGCAGCCGACCTCACCCAGTCGCAGGCACCCCATGTTCACGATATCCATACCCGTCGGTCGGAAGCAGTAGGTAGAAACATGAACTAGGAATGCGTTGAAAGTACATTGGGTGTCCGTCCACCCCCTGGAGAGGACGGAAAAGGTGAAGCCACTTGATCATTGAAGTAGGAAGGCGCTTAAAGTGGATTGGAAACTGGGAATCCAAAACACCTACTTTCAACGACCAATGGGTAACATCCCTCCAGCCCGCTGGGGGCTGGCGCTTTGCGCGCCGATCCTGCACGGGAGCAGGACCCGCCGCTCATCCACGCGCCTTGGATCCACCTCCTCGACCCTCGACCTCCTCCATCCTTGTGCTTCCTCGACCTCCTCGATCCTCGATCCCCCCACGGATCGGGGGGTCCCGAAACGGTGCGGTGACAGACTGTGCGGTGACCTTGGGATGCCCATAGACCTCGCCGCACAGCCCGTCTCCGAACGGTTTTGGGGCCTCGGAGGCCCCAGCCGTCCGAGACGTCCTCGCCAGCCGCCCGAGACAGACGTCCTCGGAGAACGATCTGAGTCCCAACACCGCACGGTCACCCCGAGGCCTCACTGACTCACCACACGGTGTGGTCACCGAGCCCGTTAGGGCCTCCCGGCTGAGTGTCTCCAAGCCAGCACCGCACGCACGCCGCCGAGGTCGCCCCCCGCCCCTGGGGCGCGCGTGGCCTGGCCGCGCCGGCGACCGCGCAAGCCTGCGAACCGTCCTGGATCGAATCGAGATGCGATCGCCGCGTCCAGCTCCAGCTGGCCCCGGCCGATGCCAGTGAAGCGAACCGAGCCGAACCCTGAGAGCCGACGTCGTGAGCAAAAATGCCACACCCGAGCCCGGGCGAAAACGCCATGCGCGAACAGAACTCGGACGCCAGGATCTCAGGGAATCGCATGAGAATCGCGGCCCCGGACGGAGAATCGCATCGCACCGGGCCGGATCGCAGGCGGCCCTGCCAGGCCCCTCGCTGAGCGTGAGGTGCTGTACGCCGTCGCCCGCCACCGCGCCGGCCTGCGGTCCCCGCACCCCTTGGCGACGGCCTCGACGACGGCCACGACGAGGACGAGGACGAGGACGAGGACTGCTGTCACGACGACGGCCAAGACGAGGAGCCGCGACGAGGAAGATGGCGACGGTCTTGACGACAACCTCGACAAAGAGGACGGCCTCGACGATGGCCACGACGAGGACGACGACGACGACGACAGCCACGACGAGGACGACGACGCCGGCGGCCTCGACCTCGACGGCCTCGGCGGCCTCAACGGCGGCGGAAATAACAAAACCTTTTGGCCCTCTTCCCTTTTCCTGGTCGAGCAGATGTGGCCGGTCGTTTGTCGCCTACACTTGCGAGTGACTAATTATGGGCAAGAATGACCTTCGGCGCGCGGCTTTAGGGGCGCCTCGGGGGGGCCAGGTCCACGTGCGCAAGCCACTGTCAGGGGGACCCTGGGGTCCCGCATCAAAGGTCAATCTGGCGAAGAGACACTCTTACGCATGGCCGAACTTGGCCCTCAGGGTAAGCCGTGCAGCGGTGGGTTGACCTCAGGAGGGTTCCCCAGGCAAGATGCGGGCCCAGCTGGGGCACTTCGCGACAGGGGTAAGGAGCTTCAGGGAGGAGGAGGAAGAAGAAGAGGAGGAGGATGAGGAGGACGAGGGGGAAGAGGAGGAGTCAGGTAGCACGATGGCTCTGCCTTTGGCGTGCGCCTGGGACACGACGTTGGACGCCGGCGGCGCCCGGAACAGCGAAGGCATGGAGCGCGGAAATTTCGGGTTCTCTGGGGCCCTTCCCTGGCCGAGTTCGTCGTTCTACCCAAAGGCCGGCCAAAGCATCTCCAATTTCACGTGACAGTCGGCCGACGTTTCGGCCAGTGGTTGTGTCGACTACTTGCCCCAGCGAGGACGTGATACCATCCACAACGCGCCTTGACATTTTGCCCCTCAATGGCGTCACCCACATTTCCCTCCCCTTTGAACAGTGGGCGCCCACAGCGGTGTGAAGATCGGAATTCGGAAGGGTCGAATGGATGATGAACGTCGACATGGACATGTATTTCGAATCAACTTGCAAACGACACTTTCTCGCCCTTTCGCTCTCAGATCGTATCCACCTCTCCTCGGGGGAATCATCGAGCGGGGCGTCCAAGGTCTAACAAGGGCTCCAGAGGATCCCAGGAGGGCTCCAAGAGAGGGAATCCGAACTGACATGTCGAACCCGTCCCCGAAAGATAATCCCAAAGACCGCCGGCAGGCCCCCAAGAGGCCCCGGAAGCGCAAAAGAACCCCCCCCCAAAAGACCGAACGAGACCACAAAGATGCCCTTGGAGGTCTCTTACAAATACAGCCCAGAGGCCACAGCCAAGAGGCCGCCGATAGGCCCCCCAAGAACCCCCAAGAAGCCTCCTAAAGAAGCGCCTCGTCCACGACCCAGTTAGGCCCCGAAAACTCCTCAAGAAGCTATTGTCGGGCGAATCCCAATCCACTGGTCCGATGTTTGCCCTTTCCCTGACCCTTGCTTTTCCCGGAGCCGGCGAAAATCTCGCGGAGCCGTGCTGGACAGCTATGCCAGGAAAGCGCGGTAGCCTTTTCCGTGGCCTTTACCCGTGCGTCTGATGACCCTCCGCACACGGCGAGCGGGCTTATGGTTGTTGGAGCGGCGTCATCGGGACTCGGCGCGCTCATAGGCCCAAAGAGCTGTGCATCACGCCGTTCTGCAGGAGCTTCGCGCAGTTCGGGGTCGTCGGCAGCGATTTCCTCGCCGAGCGAGCTGATGGTGTCGGAGCCGGTGCCAGAGTCGAAACCTATTGCTGGATATGCTGCTTCACGTACGGCAGGCGGAGTCGACGCTGCTCCAAGAGCTGACGGGTCCATGCCATCCCACCTCGACCCGGCTCCACGGCCATAGGCGCTCTTGTCGGCCCCAGCGCCATAGGCACTCTGATCCTGATCTTGTGATGGCGTGGCCGTGAGAAACGCTTGGCGCTGTGACGAATGCGCGGCCGAAGCGAGATTGCCCGGCGAGCTTTCAATCATGTGACCAAATCGGCATAGCTGGCCCATCATGTGTGCCAGCTGTGGTGCGTCCGTAGGGTAAGCCATGTTGTAGTGTTGCAGGGTCATGGTGAGCTGCATGTTCGACACACCCTCCGCGCGCAGCAAGAGGTAACTCAGGCCTCGTAGCCGGTTCTGCAATGACCGGGCTGCTGCGCATGGTTGTAGAGGATGTCGAACCTGGCGAGGAGGTTGTCAATGCGCTCCTGAGGCAGCCCGTCGAAGTTCATCAGAGCCGAGATTGCCTGTGCGCGCTCCAACTCCTAGCTGGCCCCACCGTTCGGCCAGACCATGCACGAGGTATGTCATAGGCGGCCCTGGGTTGCCGTCGATATGACCACCTTGGATGAAGACAGCTGGCGGCCACTCGCCCACGGACTCGCAAGCCATGCCAGTCAAGCGAGACGAGACGTAGGCCGCCTGGCGAAACTCGTTGAGGTCGGAATTCGGCACTGATGACCAAACCAATACCTCACGCGGCCAGCAGCGGAAGGGCGCGCGAGTTTGCTGTTCGGGCCCCCAGGCGCGGAGGTGTCGCATTTTGCCGCTGCCACCGCGGCCCGCGTCCATGCAGGCGGTGCAGCTGATGGCAGCGACCATGCCCACTCCGACGGCCTTCCACCCAGAGCGGAGCCCCTCCAGGTGCTAAGGAGGCGTGACAGCCCTGGTACCCAGCAGCGGCGTTGATCTGGTTGTGATCCTCGAAGCCGTCGTGGGTATCGGTCTCTGGTATGCTCCTCATCATCAACGGGTCGTGTCTTTTCTTGTCTCGTGCGATTGGCGTGCAGGCCGCACTCGGAGCACCCCGCTACATAGTGACGAGGGAGCTCGTCGTGCGTCGTATGATCAGTGCACTGTGCACTGCCGGCTGGACCATAGTCAAGAGGAGTATGCATAGGGATCCAGGCCTGTCCTGAAGCAGGGAGCGCGCAGGTAACGTTGAAAATCAGCACCCAGAGATCCGACAGCGAGTAATTCCAGACTCGTGTGGTAGTCCCGGGGAAGGACGGCAACACAATTGCCTGATCCTCCTTCGTATCCCCGCCCTTTCCTGCATGCGCTTCCCTTGGCTCTCGCAACATAACTAAGCTTGGCTCGAGACGGTCGGCCACCACCGACGGAACGTCGGATCGAACGACTGCTTGACAGAAGTACCCACGCGCGAGTGCAATGGGGGCGAAACGTGTTGGCCCTTGTCTCCCTCAGGCTGTCGCAACATTGTTGCGCTTAGCTCGGGGCCCTGCATCGTCGCCGCGCTAGTGAATGTGCTATCTAGCGACTGCTTGACACCAGCGGTCACCCCCGCAGGCGGAGGCTGGGGGGACGAGGAGGGCCCGAGCCCTTCGAGCACAGTTAGAACCAGATCGGGAGACAAGAGGCGGGGGGCGCCGTCCTTGTTGCTCTCGCCCTTGTAGCTGCAGGTGTGCTGGAGTTCCTGCGCCAAGGACGGCGGCTGGGCAGCGTCGGCCCCCGTAGGCACGCCGCCTGCCTGTGCGAGGGACATCATCAGCACGGATGCAGAAAAAGGCATGTCGAGCGGGATGTCGCCGGAGACGACGTAGAGCGACCGCCAGGGGCACGGGGCGAGACCACGCGGACCATGGCAGCAGTGGGTGGAGCGAAAAGTTCCGCGACGAACTAGGATGTAGAGCGTTGGGTAAACGATGGGCTCCTTTTATCGCAGGGCGTTGTAACGCGATGGTAAAGCGGGCGCGGAGGGTGGCCACCCCCCTTGAGCCACATGCTGTCACATGCCCATGGGAAGCCACACCCTGCCCGCATGCCTGCCATGCTGCGACCTGTCGCAATGCTACCGTTCGAGGAGGAGGAGGAGGAGGAGGAGGAGGAGGAGGAGGAGAAGGAGGAGGAGGAGGAGGAGGAGGAGGAGGAGGAGGAGGGGGGGGAGTGGGAGGAGAGCCCTGGCTCGAGCGCCCGAGCCCCGCAGGCTCACCTCTTTCCCCTTCCGCCTCCTCCCAGGTCATCTCGCGCCTGACGGCCCCGCATACGCGCCCCTTGGGGGGACGGGGGGCTGGGATGGGAGTGGAGTTTGCAAGCTCGGTGTTTCACATCTTCACCTTGGAGGGGGTTCGGCCAGCGGCCTCCCCCCTCCTCGCCGCACCGAGGGCACCGGAGGAGGAGGAGGAGGCCCGTCTGCGCCTCTCCGTGTGCACTGCCGCGGCGGGCAGGGCTACGCCTTGCCCAGCTGGGCCTCCATTCTTCACATTTTCTCGTTGCGCTCCTCTTTCCGCACACGTTCGCGGCACAATTCGAACGTTGCTCGCTTTGCTCAAGTCGGCCTCACGCGCTTGTTCCCAGCACGAACGCTGCAGCCCCGTTGCTTCAGTCTGCCCAGCGCGAGAAGAAGCCTCCGGGACTGTCTATTGGAGGATCCGTCCCTCCCCTCTCCTCTCTGCCCCACATCCTTGTCTCCTCCCCCCCATCCGTGGCTGTCGCTCTTCCCGTGGTCGTGCGTCTTTTCCTTCTCGCCATCGTGATCATATGGTCTTCTCCTCATCCATCTCGGTACCGTCTCCCTCGCCATCACCCTCGTCGTCGTCGTCGTCCCCCTTTCCCTCATCCTTCGCCTGACTCTTGCTGGCACGAGTGCGCATTCCTTTCCTCGCAGGCCGAGCTCTCACCCCGGCGGCGGCGGCGCCCCCGCGAGGCCTGCGAGGAGCTGAAGAGGCACCGCGTGATGGTGCTGTTGTCCGCTCCGATGCTCAAGTCCTAGGCTCTGGGCGCCCGGAATGGGTACGGAAAAATGGATACTCGGCGGTGGACACACCTCCCTTCAGTAAACCTCCCCTTAATGAAAACGGACTGGGACCGAAACCGACGGACCTGGACCCGCAAAAATGACGGCCGCGACGCCCCCTCGCGAACCGAAAACGGCCATTTCCTTAATCGACGTGTCAGGGTAGGTCTGTCCACCCCCGAGATACGATGCCCCGCAACAGATGCTGTCCAAAACCACAAGCGGGCGCGGTTGGGCAGGCGGCCTCCTGCCTCAAATGGACACCCTCCGCGGCGACACCAGCAGCGAGTCCCGTTCAGAATGAAGAGGAACTGCTGTCGGTCTCTGTACCCTTCGGTGGCAACTCATGGGAGCCTCCCATACAATCTTGTCGGCTCTTCCGATTCGACGCTAGTCGACGCTAAATCGACGCTAGTCGACGCTAAACCGACGCTAATCGACGCTAAATCGGCACATCCCACCGACTCCCAGACGCTCATCGACGCTAAAGACAGAATCCCACCAGCCCTCTGGGCGTAGGCGGTCGAGGGAGTTTTCTCTTCCAACTCCCTTCTTCCCATTCGGGGAGGGTTTTCCCCTCCCCCCTACCCCCTCCCCTGGACCTGGACGGGGCGCCCCGCGAGGTGTCAGTGGGCACTTGATCGCCCCAGATGGCTCGAAGAGGGCCTCAGAGAGCCCAAGATGACCTCAAAAATGGCTCGAGATAGCCCAAGATGCCTCAAGTCGGCTCCCGGGATGCTCCACGAGGCCCCAAGAACGCTCCAAGACGGCTCCAAGACGCCTCCGAGACCTCCGAGGAGGCCTCCAAGAAGTCACAAACCTTCCAAAACCTACGGGTAATCAATGTGTTTTGCTTTCTCGCCTTGTCGCTTCCGATGGCCATCCGAAGCCTCAAGATGGCTCCAAGATGGCCTAAGAGGGCCCCAGGAGAGACCCAAGAGAGCCCAAGACGGCCCCAAGAGCGCTCCAAGATCGCCCAAAGAGGAGTCCAAGAGGCGATGTTCGGCGCTCCGGAGGGGGGACGCTGATTGGAGCCCCCCTCTTTTTTGATCGATGTTCTCCACGATGTCCCCAAGAGCGCCCCTAAAGCTCCCAAGAGCGGCCCAGGAGGGCCTCAAGAGGCGCCCAGACAACCCCAATAGGCGCCCAGGAGGCCTCCAAGAGGCTCCCGGGAGGCCCCCCAGAGGCTTCAAGAGGATCCCCGTCTTCGCCCTCCATCTCCTTCTCCTTCTCCTCCACCATCCTCCCCCTCTTGGGGTATCGGACGGCTTCCCCCGCCCGTTGCTGTTCTTCTGCCTGCTGGCCCACATCCTCGATCACCTCGACTCCCCTGGGCATCGTTTCTGAATGGGCTGGTGGGGACACTTTTGTCGCGGCCGCAGGCGAGCGCGCCAGCAGCGTCAGAGGTCGGGCGGGCTACGCGCGAACCTAATTGCCTAGCGCACGGGGACCGGCGGCCGAACCTATGCTGGTGGGGACACGCGAAGCGTCAGCAATCAAGAGGGCACACCAGGCTCCCCTGATTTGCCACCGAGAGGAACTGCTGTCGGTATTTTTGCCCGTCCGATCCTCTGGGAGGAGGGGGAGGAGGGGGAGGGGGAGGGGGAGGAGGAGGAGGAGGAGGAGGAGGAGGAGGAGGAGGAGGAGGAGGAGGAGGAGGAGGCGGAGGAGGACTGTCCCGCGGCCAGCGCCGCGCCGTCCTCCCGATGGGCGAACGGCGGGCGGCAGCCGTGGCCCCACACCGAGGAGGAGCGCTGTGCGCGCTCCACGCCGCTCTGCGGGCTTCGCTTCCCTCCGGCTCGCCCCACCCCTGTGATCGAGCAGGGACCGACCGCCCCGGCATTTCGATAGGCCTAGCACAGCATGTTCTCAGAACCCCCACATGTTCTAAGACAAACAACAAATGTTCTGAAAACAACCATTCGATGTGTTAAGGCAAAACAGACTCAGCCAGAAATGTTCCAATAACATTCCGTGCAGACCACACAAGGTTCTTGGAACATTCTTTGGTGGGCCGAAAGGCGAGCCAAGACGCTTCGCCACTGCTTGATGTAAGGAGCCGAACTCCATACACCGACGCTTTCTCCGGCCCCGCACTGAAGCTCGCGCAGGAGAGCGGATCCTGGTACGTACGGGATCCTGGTGTGTACATGCTTGTTTTTTTCCATGGGAAAGCGGGGAAACAAGTGTATATACACCACACCACCCCGAAGTCGCCCCCGACCCTCAAAAGGTCCTGGGATTGACAGACAACCCACCACCGGTAACGTATACGCTCCAGTTTCCGACCTTGGGCGCGCTCCAGGGGCTCTGGTGCTGCTGCCCGCTCCGGCGCTCGGTCCACGGGGGGGGCGCGGTGAGCTGGTGGCGAGGATCGCGTGCGCGATTTTCGAGGAGGGGACCGACTGCAACATTGATTTACCCCGACATGTTTTTTCCCTTTTCGGATCCGCGAATATATCGTGGATTCGGCAGAGAAGACCCAGTCTGGGGCAAATCAATTATGTGGTCGATCCCCTGCTCGAGATTTCGTGCAACTTGTGGGCACGCCCTGGCGGTGTAGGGTGTAGGGTGTAGGGGCAGGGGCCTTCTGGGGCCTTCTTTGGGGCCTCTTTCCTGAAGTCCTTTATCCCCCCTCACGTTCGTTGACGCCCCCCCCGTTGCCGCCGGCCACCCGATCTGCCCTCTCCTCCGCCTCCCCTCCCTTGGGCGCGCTCGGGGTTCTGGTGCCTGCGGTTTCTTAGGGAGTGCCCGCGCCATCGGCCGGGCAGGCGGGAGGAGGCGCGTCCCTGCGTTCCGGCCCTGGTGTTCTTGGCAGTGCGTGCTGCCAGGGCTGCACACTTTCAAGTGCAGCTCCTGTGGTGCGGACTGCCATCAGTGGAGGCCGAAACGACGAGGTGACACGAGGGACTCCAGCCCAGGCAGCACCAGGAGAAACCACACGGCCATCGTGCCACCATGGGGGATGCGGAATACAAGGATCGAGGGGGCCTTTCTGGCAACGGCGATCCTCGGCCACGAATCGGTCCCCCTCTCCTGGTAGACCTAAGGAAGGGAGCGGCTCGCGAGCAAGCCTCTTCTGAGCCCGAGGCGGTCCTTCTGCAAAACTTCTCGGCTGCAGCCGTGCGCACTCAACAGCAAGCGGGCTCCCGCCCTGGAGAGACGGGGGCGGAAAAGGGAAGCGTGCCGCAAACAAGACGTTTCCGACGGAACGCCGCGGTGAGCTCCCAGATGCAGAAATCCCCCTGGGGCGAATCCTGTGCCGAACTATTCTGTGTGTTCCTGCCCTTACCCCTTCCCCGCCCTGGCAGCAGCGAGAGACAGCACAGAGAGTCGCACGAAGGCCACCCCCATGCTGGATGCTGCTTCCGGGCGCAGACCAGCATGGATTTATGTTGTTCCCGTCCGACTTAAGGACCGCATCCCAGAAATAATTTCGAGCACCCAGAAAAGTATCAAAAGAGAGTCGAAACAATGTCGAAACAGTGTCTCCCAGGGCCCGACACGTGAAAACCCTAGAGTTTTGGGGTGCGCTCGAACTTCTTTCTGGTGATCAAAGCTAAAGTAGGTTGACACATCATAAGCATGAGTTGCGGATCCGCAGATCTGGTGCGTGGGCGCCAGATCCCCCGAGCGGGGAGAGCACCCCCGGATCAGGAGGCCAATATGCCGCCTGACATTGGCGACGGGGCGCGCCGCTTGCGCACGGAAGCGGGACCCGCCGCTAATCCACGCGCCTTTTGGTCCATGGTTGCGCTTCTTTGTGTGTGTGTGTGAGTGTGTGTGTGTGTGCGTGTGTGTGTGTGTGTGAGTGTGTGTGTGTGTGTGTGTGCGTGTGGTGGTGGTGGTGGTGGGGGGGGCAACATCCGCCTGCATCGAGAGAGGCCTGTTGCCCCCCACGGGCATGCCGAGACGAATAGGCCATGGCTGGAACAACACGCGGCCGCGTGCGGGGCATCTCTCCAAGATACGTCAGGTTCGCGGCGTGCCGACTTCGGCGCTGGCTTCCGACACCGCGGGGATCGTTCAACCTTGAACGATCGGCCGTTTTCGAAACGTCCAAATCGTTCTACATCGAACGATTCTGGGTCACCCACGGCGTTCAACGTTGAACGCCGCTGGCGGGGTCGCCGCCGGTCGACACGACACGAACCTGCCATACACAAACATCCGTACCTCCTCGATCAACTCGGGCCGAATGAAAGGGGGGGATAAGGAAAGGGGGGGGTACGAAATCTGCTGCATGCAGCTGGTTTCGGCCCCGCCGCCGGGCCCACTCCTCGCTACATGGCCACCTCCGGCGCCGGGAGGCGCCGGGAAAATCAGCTACGTGAGCCGATTCTCAAGCCCACCTTTGCTATCCCCCCCTTTCGCCCAGCCCGATCAGTGGGTCCCCCCCTCCGGAGGCAACCCTCAGAGGCCACAACGGGCCTGCACATGCCCACCAATTGGGCGCGAGCGGCGCTCCCCACCGGCCAGCCGCCGCCATGCCCTCACCGTGCCGAGGAGGTGCCCCAGTGCCCGTGCAAGTGTGAGCGCACGTGGGGTGCTACGGCAGGTTCGTGTCGTGCCGACCCCAGCGTTGGTTTTTGACACCGCAGGCATCGTTCAACCTTGAACGATCGGCCGCTGCCGCAACGTCCGATCGTTCAACATCGATCGATTCTGGGTCGCCGGCGGCGTTCAACCTTGAACGCCCGCGCTGGGGTCGCCGCTGGTCGACACGACGCAAACCTACCGTAGGACCCTCTGGGGCCCCGACCCCTGGCCTGCTGGAGTTACGGTGCGCTCCTGTCGAGTGGGCCTTCCGGAGGCTGAGCGCAGGAGGCCCTCGGGGGGTTTCAGGAGGCGCCACCAGAGCCTCCAAGAGAGGAGCCAAGACGCTCCAAGTGAGGCCCACAGCCGATGTTGCGAACAGCCGCTGGTTTTAGAACATGACTCGTCTCTTCGGCTTCTCGTCGCTGTTTGGCTGTCTAAGAGGGCCTCCATAACCACCCAGACGGCCAAATGTGACTCCAAGAAGCCCAGAATGGCTCAAGGCAGCCTCGGGGGAGTCCAAGACAATCCAAGATGACTCGAAGACGGCGCTAGGACATCCCAAGAGAACACCCCAAAAAACACGAAGGCCCCTAGACGCACCGAGAAGGTTCGAGAGGGCCGAAGATAGCCACAACAGGCGCCCGAGAACTCCCGCAGAAGAGCCCCAGAGGCCTCCAACAGCCCTCTGGTTCACGAGCCAAGCACGTTATGAGGATAGCCGCAGGTCACTAGGTACAAAATTTGGCGTCTCGCGCGAACAAAGAGACCATCCGCTCGTGCCAATAATGCCTTCCAATCAAGCCTTGACTGCGAGAAGAATGAAGGATCCTGGTACTTGAAATACAAGGCCGGGTACTCGTGAAAGAACTTGCCCATCGACACGAAGTCCACGGCTTGCATGTGAGCAGTGCCCACCCACACACCATCCTCAGGGGGCCACAATCTCCTACATTGCGTTTGTACAAGATCAGGAAGATGTGGTGTGAACGTCGGGAGTCCAACCGCTTTCCTGGAGCGCAATAGTGATATAGAAGACCCTCCCCAAACGGCATTGACATAAACTTTCGGAGCTTCGCGCGGATTTCTTGGATCGGCGCTGGACCCGCTCCGTGGCGCGCGGAGCGCGCTAGTGGCGGCGCCAGAGGCGGCTTTAGGGAGGCCTCGCGCGGAGCCAAGAAATCCGCGTGGAGCCTCCGAGAGTCGATGCTTATGCAAGCTGTTCTTCTTCGATCGTGGACGGTAGCTCGACGAAGTGAGGAGCGCGCCAGTGGCGGCGCAAGAGGCGCCTTTAGGGAGGCCTCGCGCGGAGCCAAGAAATCCGCGCGAAGCCTCCGAGAGTCGATGCTTATGCAAGCTGTTCTTCTTCGATCGTGGACGGTGACTCTAGGCGCCCAGGGCGACCGCTGGTTTCGCCGACGGCTGATTTCGCCCGGCTGGTTTCGCCGCCCGGCGAAAACACCTCCGTCGGCGAAACCAGCTCCGTCGGCGAAACCAGCTGCCGTCGGCGAAACCAGCTGCCGTCGGCGAAACCAGCTGCCGTCGGCGAAACTGCCCGACCCGACCCGCTCGCTAAGGTCCGCCCGCCTGGCCCGACCCGCACGTTAGGGCTCGCGCGTGCTCGGTCGAGCGCGCCCCTCACTTGAATCATGTGCCGCCCGACCCGACCCGCTCGCTAGGGTCCGCCCGCCCGACCTGACCCGCCCGTCAGGGTTCGCAAGTGCTCGGTCGAGCGTGCCCCACACTTTAATGTCCCGCCCGCCCGACCCGACCCGCCCGTCAGGGTCCGCCCGCCCGACCCTACCCGTCCCGCCTGCTAGGGTCCGCCCTCCCGACCCGACCCGACCGTCAGTGTTCGCAAGTGCTCGGTTGAGCGCGCACCACACTTTAAATTTTGCCTGCCCGACCCGACCCGCCCGTCAGGGTCAGCCCGCCCGATCCGACCCGACCCGCCCGCTAGGGTCCGCCCGCCCGCGGCGACGACGGCGTCGGCGAAACCAGCGCCTGCGAAACCAGCGCCGGTGAAACCAGCCGCTGGCGAAGCCAGCGGGGCGAAACCAGCGGGGCGAAACCATCGCCGGCGAAACCAGCGCCGCGGAAACCAGCCGTCGGCGAAAGCAGCGGAGCGAAACTAGCGCCGGCGAAAGCAGCTCATGCCGCGCCCGGGGGGAAGTGAGAAGGGGCGGGCCTTCTCAGAAGGCTCGGGAACCTCCGGGCCTTCTGAGAAGTTTCCTGGGCCTTCCCCGGAGACGCCGAACACTTCTCAGAAGGCGCGAGGGCTTCTGAGAAGTCCCGCCGCCTTCTGAGAAGGCATTCTCCTTCTCATTTCCCCCCCTCGCTCACCGCCGAAGCTCGACGAAGTTCCCAGCAGCCGAGCCCCACGGCGAGGGTTCGCAGCAACAGATCTGCCCTGGCTGCGATCCGCGGTGTGCACCAGAAGGGCTCCTGGCCTCTTGCTCTCGGCGGGGCGGGCGAGCCGGTGACCCCGCGCTCCATCCTGGAAGTCGCTCCTCCATTCCCTCCTCCTCCTCCTCCTCGTCTTTGCTCCTCCTCCTCTGCTCCTCCATCCCCTCCCCTCCTCCTCTTCCTCCTCCTCCTCCACCTCCTCGTTTCTCGTTTCGCCCTCCCCGTATGGTTGCCACCCCCCTCCTCCTCCCCCAGCCACAACCAGCTGTCTCCTTCTCAGGGTCTTCTTCTCCAAGGCCTCCTCGAGCTCTCCTAGTCCTCCTCCTCCTTCCTCCTGCTCCTCCTACTGCTGCCCCCCTCCTCCTCCTCTTCCGTCTCCTCCGTCTCTTTCTCCTCCCTCGGCCACTGTCTCCTCCTCAGCGCTGCTCCTCTTCCGCGGCCTCCTCTTGAATACCATCACCCCTCTCCTCGTCATCCTCCTCTTTCTTTACCATCCTCCTCCTGATTCCTCCTCCTCTTCTTTTGCCTTACTTCATCCCCCTCCGTTTTCCCTCCCCAATCGTCCCTATTCTATCCATCCTCCCCCTCAATGCCTACCTTCTCCCCTCCTCACTTGCTCTCCCTCCATCCGTCTTTTCTGAGAACGCGCGCAACGCCCATAGGCCTGAGAGCGAACTTGTTACCACAGTTCTCTGGGCTCCCTCAACTCATACGTGCCCTGCGACATGTCAAACACAACGGGTTCTCGCTGTCAGCGCCACGATCCCTGACACAAACAAATACATCGGCGACCCCGGAGCTACGACCTCTGCCTAAAATATGCCTGCACTGTAAAGTGGGAGCTTTGTGGTGACATGTGTGTGGTGCAATCTGCGTGGTGCAGGCTGTGTGATCCAAGCTATGAGGTGTAATCTACTTATGTGGTGCAAGCTATGATGTGCAGGCTGTGTGGTGCAAGCTATGTGGTGAAAGCTATGAGGCGCAAACTGTGTGGTGCAAGCAGTGCGGTGCACGCTATGTGGTGCAAGCTAGGTGGTGCATTTTGCGGCGCAAACTATGTGGTGCAAGCTATGCGGTGTATCCAACGCGGTGCAATCTACAAATTAGTGGCTATACGTAGTGCAATGTTAGCCAGCGTGGACCCCAAAATGCGATTTCTTGCAATACAGGCTGTGCAATGGGGGTGGTGTCATCAATGCGGCGCACTCTAGGTGGTGCAATGTATGTGGTGCAGAACATTACAAAGCAATTCAAAACATTGCAAAGCAACGCAAACCACTGCAATGCAATGCGGTTGTAATGCAATGCGCTGCAATGGGAGTGCAATGCAGCACGATGGCAAGCCACTGCAAAACGATGCAGTACGAACGCAAGGCAGTGCAGTGCAACGCAATGCAACGCAAAACCATGCAATACAATACGATTGCAGCGCGATGCGATTGCAGTGCAACGGGGGGGTGCAGCCAGGCGGCGGCGACCAGTGGGAATGGGGCCGCCCGGCCCGCACACCGGCACACTGCACATAAAAATTAGCCTGACGAAGGACCCAACCATGTGCAGTTGCGAGTACCGCATTGTGGGTACCGGTTTTGATGGAGCTCCTATGGGGCCACGAAGCTTGTGAGGCGTGCGCCGAAATTGGTGGCGCGGACGCATGTGGACACCGCCACTGGGGCCTTCGGTGTAGCTCCCTGTGGGGCCACGAAACGCTGTCCTGGGCTGGGGAGACGCATGCGAACTGCGCCAGTGGGACCTTCGCTGGAGCTCCTTATGGGGCCACGAAGCGCTGTCATGGGTGGGGGAGACGCATGCGAACTGCGCCTCTGGCGCCTTCGGTGGAGCTCCCTGTGGGGCCACGAAACGCTGCCCTGGGTGGGAGAGACGCATGCGAACACCCCGATTGAGGCCTTCGGTGGAGCTCCCTATGGGGCCACGGAACGCTGTCCTGGGCAGGGGAGACGCATGCGAACACCCCCACTGGGGCCTTCGGTGGAGCTCCCTATTGGGCCACGAAGCGCTGCCCTGGGTGGGGGAACCGCATGCGCCCACCCCCACTGGGGCCTTCGTTGGAGCTCCCTATGGGGCCACGAAGCGCTGCCCTGGGTGGGGGAACCGCATGCGCCCACCCCCACTGGGGCCTTCGGTGGAGCTCCCTATGGGGCCACGAAGCGCTGCCTGGGTGAGGGAACCGCATGCGCCCACCCCCACTGGGGCCTTCGGTGGAGCTCCCTATGGGGCCACGAAACGCTGCCCTGGGTGGGGGAACCGCATGCGCCCACCCCCACTGGGGCCTTCGGTGGAGCTCCCCATGGGGCCACGAAACGCTGCCCTGGGTGGGGGAACCGCATGCGCCCACCCCCACTGGGGCCTTCGGTGGAGCTCCCTATGGGGCCACGAAACGCTGCCCTGGGTGGGGGAACCGCATGCGACTGGGCCTTCGGTGGAGCTCCCTATGGCCCTGGGTGGGGGAACCGCATGCGCCCATGGGGCCTTCGGTGGAGCTCCCTATGGGGCCACGAAACGCTGCCCTGGGTGGGGGAACCGCATGCGCCCACCCCCACTGGGGCCTTCGGTGGAGCTCCCATGGGGCCACGCGCTGCCCTGGGTGGGGGAACCGCATGCGCCCACTGGGGCCTTCGGTGGAGCTCCCTGTGGGGCCAAGAAACGCTGCCCTGGGTGGGGAACCGCATGCGCCCACCCCCACTGGGACCTTCGGTGGAGCTCCCTATGGGGCCACGAAACGCTGCCCTGGGTGGGGGAACCGCATGCGCCCACCCCCGCTTGGGCCTTCGGTGGAGCTCCCTATGGGGCCACGGAACGCTGCCCTGCAGGTGGGGGAACCGCATGCGCCCACCCCCCACTGGGACCTTCGGTGGAGCTCCCTATGGGGCTGCGAAACGTGTGAGAGGTGTGCCGAGAGCAGAGCCAACGAGGGGGAGGAGGGAGGAGGGGGAGGAGGGCGGGAAGGAAGGAGGAGGAACGCGGGGCACCGTCTCTTCAAAACGAGGACCCAACACCACAGGTTGGTTGGGAAAAAGACAAGCGGAGCGGCGCGGCGACGGACGGGAACGGGGCCGCCCGGGCTGCACCCGGGCCCACGGCGGCGTCGCCCCTCCCTTCGCGTCCCCCGCCTTCCGGCGGCGGCGACAGGGGCGAATAGCCCAGGGGCGGGCATCACACGCATTCGCCCGGGAGCCTTGTCGAAGACACAGATCATCGGCACCCCTGGATACATGCATTGCTCCCCCCTGGGCTATTCGCCCCTATCGTCACCGCCGAGCCTTCCTCTGGTCCTCACGTAGGCGTTTTCTTGTTTCGGCTACACGCAAGAGTGACCCTAGGAAAGGGTGCCCTTTGGTGCGCGGCTTAACGGGGGACGCGGGGTGGCCAAGCCTGCGCGCGCAAGCCGCTGCCGCCGCTTCGCGCTCAGCGGTTGGAGGATCCCATTGGGCCCGCACCAAAGGTCACTCCGGCGAAAGGTCACTCTCAGGCCTGGTCGATGATCCTGGGTTTCGACGTTTAGCCGACGGGTGGGAAGGGGGGCCGGGCCTGGGCCGGTGCTTAGTCGATCTGCTGTCTGCCAAACGCGCAAGCAGACTGGTGGCGAGGCGTCCGTATGAGCAGCCGCCAGACACAGCTAAGATCTGGTCTAGCGCAGCAGTGCATAAAAGAACGGCTACCATGCTTCTCACAATCCTCCTGTTCCAGCTCCTGCTGCCGCTCCTTCTTCCTCACCTCTCTCTCTCTCTTCCTCCTGCTTTTATCCTCGTGCTCATCCACCACGTCCTCCTCCTGCAGTGTACACAGCTCCCCTGTTCTCACTGCGCATCACACGATGGGTTTAATTTTCTGGATGTGGGGAGGGAGTCGAGGTCTGCCATGCCACCCATCGGCGGATACATTCACAATCAGCGCAATGGGAAGGGATGGGCGGGCGAGGTCGTATGTCAGAGAAGGCGCGCGGGCGCACCTAGCTTATTCCACCTTATGCGGCAACTCATGGGAGCCTCCGATGGTATCCTGCTGGCTTTTGCTCGCCCACGCCAATCAACGCTAACTGACGCTAATCGACGCTAGTCGTCGCTAACTCTGCGCTTTGTCATCGGTGCCCATGACGCTAGCGCTCTAGTGCATTACAGAAGACGGAAACTCGAGGACATCCAAGGCTCCTACGAGTTACTACCCAACTCCACCCTCTCTTTTCTCTCCCCTCCTCGCGCCCGCCGCGCTCGCCAGGGAGCGAGCACAACCATGGCTCTGGCAGCGCGCCCGCGGGCCTGCGAGCCAGCGACCATGACGTGGCCCCCGTGGTAGCCATCGCCCTCTCCCGTCCTGGCGGAGGCGTGCACAACGAGGCCGTGCACGGCGAAATCAGGAGGAGGGGGAGGAGGAGGAGGAGGAGGAGGAGGAGGAGGAGGAGGAGGAGGAGGAGGAGGAGGAGGAGGAGGAGGAGGAGGAGGAGGAGGTCAGGAACCTTTACTTGGCGTGTCGCGGCGGCGGCCCCTGCGGCACGCGAGGCCCTGTAATCAGGTACCTTGCCGCTCCGCTCCGCGGGGCGGGAGGTCGGCTCGGGACGTCGACGCTTCGAGTAGGGTAATGGACTACAGAGTTGTCGGGGGCGGCCAAGAGGGGGGCGTCCAAGAGGGGGGGGCGCAAATCATGGCCGGCGGCACGTGCGCGGCCCGGGGGGAGGGGGCAGGGAAGTAGTCAAACGAGAAGAGGCGCCATGAAATCTTGGGAGATATCATGGCCCCTGCCACGATATTCCCCCTCCCCCCCCTAGTCATCACCCCCCTCGTGGCTGCCCGCGGAATTGATTTACAGTGGAGGCCAGTCCACAAGACACCCCCCACAAGAAACCCGACCCCGAGACCCCGGGACGTCCATGTATTTTTCTGGTGTGGGAGCGTCGCGCTCTCCGCAGCACAGGCATCGACACCCAGGAAGCCCAGGACACCCTGGAGGCAAGCAGGGTGCTTCTGGCATGGAGATCGCCACTGTACTCGTTTCCCATGCCGCTCGACACCGAGCGATCTGCTCGGTGTCCGAGGTCAACGTCCACGTCTCGGCAGGGCAGGCCCTCGCCGTGCGCCTTTCCTAGGCGTGCCCCGGCCAGGTGCTCTTTGGGGGCCAGGTCTCGACCAGGGCCCACTTCGGCCGCGCGCAGGAGGGGATATGGGGGGATATGGGGGGATATGGGGATATGGGGGGATATGGGGGAGGAGGAGGAGGAGGAGGAGGAGGAGGAGGAGGAGGAGGAGGAGGAGGAGGAGGAGGAGGAGGAGGAGGAGGAGGAGGAGGAGGAGGGGAGGAGGGGGAGGAGGGGGAGGAGGAGGAGGAGGAGGAGGAGGAGGAGGAGGAGGAGGAGGAGGAGGAGGAGGAGGAAGAGGAGGGAGGGCTTCTCAGAGGCACCCCTGCTTCTTAGAAGGCGGTCCCCCCAGCGCTGCTCTGCCCGCCAACTCTGCGGACCGGGGCGTGGCCAGCGTGCCGCGCCGAGGCGCGGGAGGCCAGACCCGGCGGCGCGACATGCCGAGCCCCAAAATTTCCTGGCCGCGCAGCGTGGCCGGGGGCTCGGCGAGACACGGGCGAAAGTAGCAGGACAGACACGTGCAGACAGGGAAGGCTGACGATGAGGAGGGTGGAGGGGGAGCATGGTGACGATGACGACGAGGATGGTGACGATGACGATGAGGGGAGGAGGGAGAGGGCAGCAAGAGGGAAGGAGACGCGGAGCGCTGTCTCTTCAAATCGAGGACCCAACACCACGTGATGGTTGGGAGCCATGGGGGAATTAATGACTTGTGCCTCTCGGCGCCCTCTGGTGGGTCGTCTCGGCGCCTGGGCACGTTGCGGGGACTTGTGGAGCTGACTTGAAATACAAGAGAAGCTCGACAAGAGACGCTTCCACAAGAAACCCAACCCTGAGACCGCAGGACGTCCACAGGTTTTTGGTGTGGGAACGTCACGCTTTCCACCGCAAAACCAGCGAAACCCAAGAAACCCAGGGCACCCTGGAGGCAGGCAAGGTGTGTTTTCTTTTGTTGTTGTTTCACAATCCGCATGCCGCCCTTCGCCCATGACTCATAAACAGCTGTCCGCGGGTCCGCGCGCCGGTCGGCCTGAGCCCGCCCCCGTGGCCGTTGCGACTCGGCGCTGCCCAACACTTGCAGCCCTGACCCATCCAGCCGACGGAAGCCAGGCGATGGCCCTTCACAGCCCACTTCCCCGTTATCAGACAAAAAAGTCACGACCCTTTGCAAGGGTGGCTTTCCAAGCGTCACGGCTCAACGATTGCCGAATAACTGGAAGCCTGGTCCAGGACATCCGACTGCAGAAAAGGTGCCAAGATGCCAAACGCCGTCCGATACTTATCGCTTGGCATTATTTTGAATTTCTGCAGCTGCGAAGGACTGAGACATTCACCTGTTCAGTTTCATTTTGTTTTAACGTTGAAGCAAGTCCTCGGGTCTCCCTAGCCATCGCGCGTGTGCATCATCACGTCCGTATATCGGCTGTGCACTGACGTCGAATATCTTTTTCTGCGTACTCCTCCATTCTTGAGACGGGCAACCAAAGAGCGAGAACCGCTTTTGAAATGCCATGCTCCGCAATGCTCTGCCAGTAGGCGCTTGCGATTCAGTCGTAGAAAAGGTAGATCAACCACGACGGTTTTAGTGACGACGTGGTTTAAATCAGAGGCGAGCTGCGCAACCTGGCTTCTCCACTGGCCCATGTTCTAATACCCCTGTGTTGGGGAATCCCCCCTAAGCTTGCCAACGTACGATCGCCAATCCGAGCAACGTTGGGTTTGTTTACAAACACCTTGAGCTCCAAGCCGCTGTAACACGCAGCTGCGTTGGAGACTTGAATCACCCCCCTGCACCTTTGGCCAAACTTCCGACTTGTCTAAGGCGTAACTGTGTCCAACCGTTCCGTGCGAGCTAGGACGTCCGGTCGCATAGTTCCATCGGAACTGGTTTCGAAGCAGTCTTTCGGGTGCCAGAGTGACTTGCAACAGCTGCACAATTTTCTCCTGACCCAGAAATTACATCACCCATTGCCAGTCCATTGTTGCACGCGTAAAAAGCGGATCATACTCCATGCGTGAAGCCGATGCGTAGACATAAGAACAATCACGCAAATCGGGGTGTTTCTCGGCATGGATTTCCACTGTATGATAATAGTATTTACTTCGGCTTCTTGGAAGACCGTTTCACGATGTTTGAATTCGACTGCCAGTTATAAGACTCCTGCATCTCACGCAGCTCTGCTCGCCAAATCTTCGCTGTCACGCTCCAGAAACGCGGCCTCTTTCTCGGTGAAAAAGACCGCCCCCCTCCCCCCCGACGGACTGAGAACGGAGCCTCGCGGTCGCCCCCTCAATCAAGGCACCGACGACAAACTGAAACGCTCAGTAAAACTCTGGCGCCCCCGCCCCCCCCCCCCTCCCCCCGCTGGGTGCGCTCGCGGGGTTTCAAAACAGCATGCCTACGCGTGCCCCCAGCTCCTCCTCCAGATACCCCGCAAGCGCCTACCCCATCGTGGCCAACTCCCCGATCTGCCCCAAGAAGAGGCGGATCACCTTCTGCAGCTCGAGCCAGTCGACGGCCCTCGCGATCTCCACCTTGCTCTCGTCGTGGCAGCGCTCGAGACGACAGGCGTGGCACGTCCGCACGATGTCCCAAGACTCGCGCTCCGAGCACTGCTGCATCGCGCTCTCCGAGGTATCGCGGCTCTGGTCGCCCACCTCCTCCGTTATCAGTTGCTTCGCAAGTTGCGCGAACGTTGTGCGCGCTGGCGGCCCGGGGCCGCGACCCTTGCCCTCGCCCTGCGCCGCCGCCGCGCACGCGGCGCCCGCGTTCTGCATGGCCACTACGGTCTTCACCTAGATGTCCAATGCGTACGCGCCGTACAGCTGGCCCCTGATCTCTCGGAGCTGCTTCGCATTGATGATGCGCTTCAGAATGACCAGCAGCATCGCCGTCGTCCCATGGTCCGCTACCTTCACGGCCTTCGGCGGCTCCTTGTTTCGTCTCCTCTGGCGCTGTTGGGAGCGCGTGGCCCTGCGCCCCTCCATCCTGCTCCCGTCGGCCTCGCCGTACCGCTGGCGCCGACCTCCTCCGCCCGTCGTCGGCTGGCTCTGCACCTGTGGGGGCCAGGGGGGCGTCGCCATCGCGGACGCCTGCCCGAAACTCGCCGTCTGGCGGAGGCGGGAAGCGCGCGGAAAGGTGGCGCTTAAGCCCCGCAAAAGTCTTGAACTCAACGGCTGCGGAACATGCATGGCGCATTCTACCTGGCGGCTCGATAAAGTCGCAAGGGGATCTCGTTCTGATGGCACAACATCGGGAATGATTCCAGGATTCTCTCGAATGCACGAATGGATCCATGGGTCGGCTTGGACGCCGCGAAAAATTCCAGACAGCGGTTGGCACGAGTCAGCAAGTATCTATCATTTTGTTGGCCGTGCTCGCCTCCAAGGCCCGCCCATCTCTGGTGCGTCATCGACCCTTTTGGATTTCGTTCGATGCTGACGGTTGGCTCCTCCCTCCACCCTCAACCCACAAATGTCGTCGCCTTACCCCTCACGGCGACTCGGAACCGCAGGCGGAACTCGATTCGGTAACGTTGCTGGTGGCGGTGGTATAGCGGCGCTGGTGCTCTCTTGAAACCAATCGGCGCTCGTCGGTTTGACCCAGAGCCTGGGCGACCTTCTCCTGGCAAAACGTCGCTACCCTGCGACTTCCCCACGGCTCTTCAAACTCCCGCGCCTCCTCATCCTCGGCCAGGGCCTGGAGGTCATTGAAAACTGTCGGGCCCATGGACTAGCTTTGGGGCTCATGTTTGTTTTGCCGTCGATGAGGGTGGGTGGTGCGACCGGGAGTCCTAGGTCACCTAGTTCGATTGCTTGGTCTCGTTCGTGTTCAAATCTGCATCTGCCTAGAGAAATCGCCCGCCACTGCTTGGACTGTTGCCGGAACCGTAAAACAAGTTTATGCCGTATTAAACGTCGAACGTTCATGGCTAGCAAGACCGGGGCCACGTTCCAATGCTTCAAAACCTCGGAGTTGCTCATATGTTTTGTTTCGGGCGGGGCCCGAATTTGTTTCTCGCGATGTAAACTGGACTGGACTGGACTGGACTGGACTGGACAGGGCTGGGCTGGACTGAAGTAAACTGAACTGAGCTGAACCGAACTGACTGGTCGCACTCGTTACGCGACTGTTTTATTCTCGGCAGCCGAGGGCGCAACATATGGCGCAACCAGTAGAAGACGGTGATATTCTCGGCCGCCGAGGGCGCAACCAGTGTCGCAACTGATATGAGACGGTTTTATTCTCGGCCGCCGAGGCGCAACCTATGGCGCAACCGATAGGAGACGGTTTTACTATGGGCCGCCGAGGGCCCAACCTATGGCGCAACCGGCAGGAGACAATTTTACTCTCGGCCGCCAAAGGTGCAACCCATGGCGCAACCGATCGGAGGCGGTTTTATTCTCGGCCGCCGACGGCGCAACCTATGGCGCAGGGGACTGGAACAGCCGTGAGGCAACGTCCAAAGACACACACACACAAACACACACAGAGACCACATCAACCATGTCAGACGCTTGGGGCTGAGGCCCCTCACGAATCTGTCTCCCAACGGAACGGGGGAAGAGGAGGAGGAGGAGAAGTAGAAGGAGGAGGAGGAGGAGGAGGAGGAGGAGGGAAGCGAGGGAGCGAGGAAGGCTGCTAGATCCAGCTCCTCCCTCGGCAGCCCAGGGTCCTGAAGACGACGTTCGAGCGGCCCGAGAGCAGCGCCACCGTGGCCTCGAGCCTGGCGAGCATCCGGCGCTCCAGAGTCTCAGCCACTCGAGGAATGAGGCGTCGCGCAGAATACGGATTTGCCTCAGGCTGTCTCGAACATTGCTTCTCGGGAGCAAGTTTGGAGAAACATTCGAACCAGACTGATCCTCATTCCTCGTCTTCAGGACTTCACTCGTTGTAGGTGCATCTGCTTTCAACATCAGCTAATTCGCCCACACGTTCGTCTTATCATCCTGGCCCCGTCAACGAACAAGTACGGAGGACAAGCAGATCGATCAGGTGCCTTCTGTCAGCATCGGTGGTCCAGGCACGAACGTACCTGCGCATGCCATTGCGGCTCGACGAAGGTCTCAAATACAGAGGTCTCGATGCCCCGACGCTTTGTTCCTGCCCTGATCTTTGGCAAGCATAGCCTGGAGAGTTGGACGTCCGTACTGTGGGCGCGAGCAGTCTGCAACGTGGGGCACAACAGAAGCGACAGGGGCGAGCCACAATGGTGCGAAGATGCTCTTAATATGTGTTTGTTTCCCTCTCTCTCTCCCCCTCTCTCCCTCCCTACCTTCCTTCTGCATTACTAATGTGAAGCAGAAGGGTTCAGGGAGAACACGGGTCTTGGACGCGAGGCCCTCCCCAAGGCTGGCTTTTTATCCTGAGCGCTGCTTGACCGTCCTGGGTCCTGGGAAGGGCCCTGGAAATCCGAACACGACAAGAGACTGGAGGACCCCTTTCCCTCAAGACCCCCTTTTCTCCATTCCTTCAGAACCCGCTCAAAACTTGTCCCCCGAGCCCTCCCCGATCCGTCCTGGCAAGTTTTCCGAGCCGCCTCCAGCAGTGGCGACGAGAACCTCCAGAAATGCCCTCAAACGTCCGAAACGTCGTCGTCTTTGTCGTCTTCGTCGTCGTCGTCGTCGTCGTCGTCGTCGTCGTCGTCGCGGGTCACCTCAACATCCGTCTAGTGGCAACGCGCGTCACTGCAACATCCGTATGGTGGTACCGCTACCTGCGGGCCCCTCCCGCGCGCCTCACCCTCGTCCAGTGGCCCCCGCCGTTCTGCGGGATCTCACCGCCGTAGTGGCGGTGGACGAGAGCCTGGCTCAGGCGGACGAGCGTGGTGTCCGTTGCGGGGTCGTAGACGGGCTGTCGGCGGATCGGTCAGTCACGTGCTTTGGCACGACCGAGATGGGCACGGGGAAGATGGGTAAGATGGCCAACAACACATGTTGTCCAAGACCGATCGCGGCCGCTCTTGGGAGGGCGATCTTCTGTCTCAAATGGACGACCTCCGCGGCGGCGCCGAAAACGAGCGCTGTACAACATGGGCAGGAACTGCTGTTGGTCTTCGCCCCCCTTCTTTCCGTATTCGTATCCACTTCGATCGTCCCGAGTGTGAAGGGGAAACGTTCGAGGGGGACTGGCTCAGGAGGGGAAAGCATAGAGCTGGAATCGGCGATGCACCGCCGACAGATCGGCGACAGGCCACCGATAGCCAAGCCGCACGCTCCCAGGGGCGGGGCGGGCTGTCGTGCCCCAGTGAGCGATAACGATGTGCGATCGGGGGCCGAGGCGTTCCCCTCTCCCGAGCCTTAGCCCCGCCCCCGGTGGTTCTCGGGTCGTCAGTCGGGCCCCCGGGCACCCCCGGGACGCTCGGCGAGGCGCAGCTGCTGGAGAGCAGCCTGGAGGCTGGGCAACCGCCGTGAGGCGACGACCACGCCCGAAAAGACGGTGAAGGCGCCTGGGCGGGAGCGAGGCGGCGCACCGCGCGAACGGTGAGGGCATTGGATAAGGAACCCTTAAAATAAGCAATCCAGGGTCTGCAAGCCGGTGAAGCTCCGATCGTGGATCGGCCATGGATAACACTGCCGCCCTCATCAGAGAAGGAATCCTCCAAGGTCTGAAGCCTCCTGGGCCCATTCCTTAATGAATGCCCCCACCGTAAGTCGGGCATGTCCTCCTACAGGCGGATTCTGTTCTGGAAGAGAAAGGAGACATAGTCAAACAAAAATGCTTCAAGATAAACAAACATAGTCGAAAAATCACCCCCGTACCATTCGTTGATTATTTCCGGATGGTCCTCCGGTAGAGGGACATGCACGACTTAAGCCTACTCTGAGTTTCTGAAGAAGCGTGGGGGGGTACCCCCCCGACGGGGGTCAACCTCGCCCCGTCATCGCGCCGGGACAAGGGTCGGAGCGCCCTCGGCGCGCGGCGGCTGCCCGCGACGGGGGTCGATGTGGGGCTGTCGGCGGGGGTGACGCCCCCCCGACGCTTATTAAGAAACTCGGAGTACCCACCCCCTAACGTTGCCCCTGACGCGCGCGCGCGCGGGGGAGCAGCGGCTCGACGCCGGCGGGTGATCGGAGGCACGTGAGGAGAGCGGGAGGCACGGGGGTGCGTCGGCCTCCTCCGGGCCAACTGGCCAGCCCGAACCGCATCGCACCGCGGCATCGAGTCGGATCGGAAACGGATCGGGTCGTCGGCGAATCGTCCCGACTCGAATCGAAATCGGATCGCCTCGACTGGCCCCGGCCACCTTGGCCGATGCCGGTGCTTCCAAGGCGGCTCGAAACTGATCGGAATCGTGGCCCCAGCGGGCGAATCGAATCGCATCGTCTCGGATCGTTGGCGGCCCTGCCAGGTCTGCCCTACCCCAGCCGGCGCTCCAACGCAGGCTGCTTCTGTGGAATGCCTGAGTGCCCGAGGGCGACCCCGAGAGGCACCGAGGTTTCGAGGAGGCGCCTGCCGTTGACGCAGGGAAGGGATGAGAAGAGGGCGGAACGGGGCGAGAGCGGAAAGAGGGGATGCTACTACTACTACTACTACTACTACTACTACTACTACTACTACTACTACGACTACTACTACTACTACTACTACTACTACTACTACTACTACTACTACTAAGACGGCTACTACTACTACTACAACTAACCCTACGACTACAACTACGACTACTACTAGAACTACTACTACGACTACTACTACTACTACTACTACTACTACTACTACTACTACTACGACTACCATTACTACCAGAAAGACTACGACTACGACTACGACTACG